GCCGTGGGACGGCGCCGGGAGCTGCGCCGCCCGAGCACTTACCCTTTCCAGCACGATCTCCTCGTATTTGAACACGCCATCGCTGCCGTTCACCTGCGGAGAGGGAGACAGCGCGTTACGGCCCCGAGCCAAAGCCCCCCCGGCTGTAACGCGCTTTCGCTCGAACCCTTTATTGTCTCAGCTCGTTTCGTGAGAGGCGACGAGGAGCACGCCTGGACGCACAACAAGAAACGACGCCTTCGTTACACGACGTGTAATTAACCTCTGGGATTCACTGCTGCAGGGAGGAAAGAAAGTAGCTTGGTCAATTCTTAAAAAAGCGCCGGTCCCTACGTAATACACACCTTTAGTAGCTGGCATCTTCTAAACCTCTTGGTAACAAGGTTTTGTTGACATGAAAGTGCAACGAAGAATAATTGATTCTACTAAATCAGTGGGTCGCAAAGGAAACAAGGTGTTAGGAGCCTAAGGAGCGGGGCAGGATAACAGGGGAAAACATGCTGATGCCTTTATATAAAAGAAAAGGCGTAGACTGTCTCGATGCTGCACGTCCTACTGATCTCCGCGTTGGAAAAAACCCCCAAGCCCTAGCGTGAGAGTGGGGCTCTGAGAAAGGGCCTGCGCGGCGGCTTGAACACCTCTCCCCGGCAGCGCCTGGAGGAACAGGGACCGCTGTGTCAGAAAGGAAACTAAAAGAGCAGGGACGTGATTACCGGCTCTAGAATAAGGGATGCTAAATGTACAGGTCCAAAACTGCTGTTTCCCCACAGGCAAAAACGCATGGAAAACTACGGCGGCGGTTCCAAAACGGCTACAAACACTTTTTTCACGCACCCCAGGACCTGAACTGCTAAACTTCAGCAAGATCTGCAAGGCAACGGGGCATTTGTTTGGCTAACGAGAGCGGCCGCAGTTGTTCTGCTCAACCACAACAGCAATTCGGCAGGCGAATAAAATCACACCTCACAATTTAGGTCCCTCTTTGCGCGACAAGGGGCCTGAAGGCAGCCTGGCCCCCGGGACAAGCGGGCGCCGGGTCTCCCTCCCCC